AGGAAGAAAATTAACTCTATCCCAGCCGAAATCAAGACACTGTGACACATTACATCCTTTATCACTTTGTAATTGAAATGAAATGAAAACTGAGGCTTTTGCTTTAGCACAAAGGTTAAGCAGAAACTGTCATTGAGAACCAAAGTGTATGTGGAGCAGGTGCCTGTCTTTGGAATATCTCTGTAGTTTTGATTTTTTTTTTTTTTCTTTTTCTATTCCTCCCCCTCAATGCAGCACTGAGTATAAGCAAATGCAAGAAGACACACTTTGTGTGTTTTTATTTAACTGTGATTCAAACTAGTGAATAAAATCTAGTTTCTTGGTTTATGAAAAAAAAAAAAAACATTACTTTTCTAATGCATATATTTATTATCACGTCATGTCTCTAGGGGCTTAGTGTAACTTTCCCTTGTTTTCTTTCATGTATCTCTATAAGAACACTTGAAGAAAATGTCTACAAGATTGCTGTTTCTTTGGCTCAGCGATACAGTGTTCCACTTTGGGAAGTTTATATGACGCATTTGGAATTTTTATTCACCGACAGTGGGTAAGTTGTCTCCCCTACAAATGCACAAAGGATTCTGTTACACAGAAATATGTGCTAACCTATGAGAAAATTGAAGTATATTGAGGGTAGAGTGTGGTTTGTGTTTTCATATTTCTTGTGTTGTGATAGTTTGGGAATTTTTTTGTCTTTTCTACGTGATATTTTTGTAACCCGGCACGAAAATAGGTGTTACAGGCAAGGATGGAGTCCATATGTGTCTTATTATTCTTGTAAGTATCCCCAGACTTTGTTTCAGTGTTTAGGTTTCCACGGCTTTGAATGCTTAGTGCTCTCTTCCAATAGCAACTTACCTTGTAGTTATTTTTACAGTGCCTTGGAATATCTCCTGAAGCTTGATTGTTTTTATATGGTTATTTATTTTTAAATAAAGTTTTGCTATTTATTGATCTCTCTTCTACATAATAACAAAGGAAATAAATATATTGGCACTTCCCATTCATCTGTTCATCTCAGTTTCAGTTTTTTATAGAACCACTTTTTTTACAATATTTCTTTGGAACTCTTCTAGTCTACAAGATTATGGTAGACCAGACCTGGCACTGGTGGGGGGTGTGTGGGGGAGGGATGCTTTTCTTTTCTATTCTAAAGTTAGTTCCAGGGCCTTTTTAAAAAAAAAAAAACAACAAAAAACAAAAAAGCACCAAAAAAACCCCCAAACCACCAAACAACTTTGACAACTTGTCAGTCAGACAAGTACTTTTTGCCCACTGAAAGATGAATAAACCCATTCGATGAAAGACTAAGATACTTGCCTGAGTAGTGCATTCAGATGTCAGTGATGTAGAGCCCCCTGTGTAATACAGCAGCTCTTATCTACTGTTCTGACAGACATGATCAAATTAGTATAGTTAGTTTCAAATTTTAAATTGTGAAAGCAGCTTTAGCTTGCAGCAGTATTTGTACTCCTCTTAACATAAACTATTAATTAAAAAGCATTAAAATGTTTTATAAAACATGAGGCATAAGAAAACAAAGCCTGATAGACATTGGTGCAAGATCTGAGAAGATGAAATAGCATTCATAGATTTTCTTTGCTTCCTTTAGAAAACAGAGAAGTCATACCCTCTAAATTTTGATGCTGCTAAATTATTTAGTGCTTTAAACAAAATAGGCAGTCAGGGTATAAACATGGCAACACTGGGGTGAATGTGAAAGAGCCAGCTGACTTCTCTGGGACTAGAATATTACCCAAGGTGTTTTGCAACAGTTTTCTACCATTTTCTTTGTTCTTGTCCTCCATGAGTTAGTATTCATAGAATTGTGAGATCACTGAAGTACTAAGTAACAACCTTTTCTAACGAAATTCAAAAAAGTCTTGAAAATTGATGTATAGTAGCATAATATGCTGCTGAGCATGTTTTTGTTGTATCATAATCTCATTTTAAAGTTGATTGACAGCATATGGCCATTACAGTATATTTTAGTCTTGGGATTATGGCATTAATAATGCATGCCTTGTTATGCATTCATTCTGAACTGAAAAGAAGTTTATTCTAAGACTTAATCTCTTTAACCAAATATGCAGTATTTCTATAAGCCACTTTATGTAGGGAGAAGCTCAAAAGAAGCGTTTACGTAGTGTCTATTAACTATTTTTTTGATTATTTGATGGCAAATAAACATCACGTTTTTCTGTTATGCTGTGATTTTGAGTCTGAAAATGGTTTAGAATTTTTTTTAATTGAGTGGAAATTTAATTGTTTCTTTGGAAGAATGTGATCAAATTTGATTACCAAAAATCATACATTTTATTATTTCAGTGAAAGGAAATGTTATGTTTGCATGTCACAGAATCTATTATTCCAGAATCTTTCTGAACAGCATAATGAACCCTTCCACCTTCCCCATCCCCCTACCCATCCCCGCACCCCAAAAACACACTGCAAACCTCTGTAGATCCTGTCAATATAATTTAATGTCCCTCTAGCCTTTAGTCTGAACTTTGGGTGTGGACAGAAAAATGTATTCAAATCACACTCTTGAAATACATCAGTCCCAAGTGTCTGTTTTTGTCTTACATAAAGAGTGACTGACACTTTATTTCCATTAATATCGTACTTATTTCCATTAATGTAGTAGAACACTTAACAAGAATTTAGAGTCTTAAAATAATGCTTACAAGGTTAACCACCTAATTGGGGTGGGTTCGAGATGTAAAAATAACTCAAAATAACTTATTCTCCCCCAGAAATCGGAGATTCATTTTAAACTGAGAGAAGGTTGTGTTTGTGGTATTTGTTGCAAGAAAATCATCTTTAGGAATGAAACTGAGATATATTTTACTTGGCTAGCAAAGACAAACACTAACTTATATGTGGCATTTATACATAGGAGAAATTCACGTTGAAATTCTAATTTAATCAATTTTAAAGGTTTAAGAAATTCAAATGGGATTAGAAGACATCAGATTTCCAAGTGAAACATGCTACCTAACATGGCATATGGTTGGACTTTGGGGAGAGTCAAGGTGGTAGTCACCCATAGCTGACTTCTTTCCTCAGTTTTTAGGTAAAACTTTCAGTTGAGAAAGGTATAAACTTAAGATGAGACTTCCTTGATATGCACCCATTTTTATCTCAGGTGAGGAAAAAAGGAGTGATTGCATTCAGCTATCTTTTATGTAGCCAGCTGGAGGTGTCTGAATTCATGCTGTGAAAGAGCTAATTATTCTTTTCAAAAGGGTCAAGAAAAAAAATTTCCTGAAGCAGTGAGACTGGCTGAGGTCAACCCAAGACTTGCTGATATTTTCCTAAATTTTCATGGATGTCAATTTGAGAGGCAACTTGATAAAACTGTCAAATGAAATATGCTGAGCATGAATAATAATGTCAAATAGATTGACTAGTGGGCAAGAGCCAATTTTCAGTGATAATATCTCTCAAAGCATGCACAGGTGCTCATCTACTACAGAAAATAGAATGTAATAGATTGGGAGAGCTTCTAATTGGGGAATAGGATATTCTAGCATCTCTCAGCCACAAGGTTGGTGGGGTTTTTTTGTGTTTTGTTTTGTTTTGTTTTTTTTAAAAAAAAAGGCTTCCTGTACAAGAAGCTCTGGACATATGTCTACTTTTACATATAGCTATAATTAGAGATGTGAAATGCTGCTTTGAATCCCACTTCAGTATTCACGACCCTTAATCTGCATGTCCAAATCAACAGATAGCAAGACCAGGAAATACAAGAGCTCCTTAGCTTATGTTTATGGAGGATAACAGCTGTCTAAAAACTTATTGAAGGGTATTTACTTTTTCAAAATGTCTTACAAAGTTGAACTTTACTGCTTAAATAAGGGAAAGTATTGTCCTGTCTCCCAGGTGTGCAGCTGAAGAATCTTTCATGGCATGTCCAGGCCTTTAATGCCATAATTCTTTCTAAATGCAGGTTATCAACACTGGAAATACAAGAAAGAGCACAAACTCTTGGTCTCTTTGAGACTTTGAAAACCAATCCTGAAACCTTACATGAACACATGGTTAAATATGTTTACCCAAGTATTGAAGGTAGAGATCACCAGCGATTGCTTTACTATTTTACACTCCTTGAAAATTGTGGTTGCTCAGAAGTGGTGAAGCATGCTGTTAAACCTGAAACTCACATCCGACTCCTGAAAAAATTTAAAGCAGTTGCACCAGGTAGGAGAGTTCCTGTTTCTTTTCTTCATAGCTGTATTTATTATTCTGTTAAGTGAGTGTCGACATGATTATGCTTATCTAGTTTATACCCTCCAGGTAATTTTTTTTTCAATAAGCATATCAGATGAACGCAAGTAATTTAGTTGGTTAGTCATGTCTTATAGGAGTAAGTTCCTTCTCTTTGTATTAATGGAAATTTAGTTTACTTTATCACGGCAAGCAAAAAAATATTTAAAAACAGGTTTCTGTTGGTGATGCAAGTTAAAATTATTGGCAGTGGTTCATAGTGAATTTTTAAAGAAAAAAATACAGACCCCACAGAGCACAACTTTTAACACACCAAGCTTAACATGAATATTCTCAAAGAACTTAAGACAGTGTACCTTTTAAAAGTCTGAATTGCATAATATATCAAGAACTCTAAGCATTTGTTTGTTTTAAAGAGGGTAATTTTATTTTGTGTTTTATCCTTGATGTTACCTTTTGCTTTTGCAGAACTATAACATTATTTGTCCTCCTACATTATCAGACAATGCCTATAAAAGTGAGCTGCTGGAAAGCGTTCTGAAATTTTGAATGCTAGTTTCAATTTGCTTGTTAGTCAAGTATTAGCAGTATCTTGAATTTCAGTTGAGTAACTCCAAATCCAGTTTCAGAATGAAAAATACGCACTGTATGGGATTACATGCTGTGGGGATGAATTAATTGTTCAATACTGGAACCTCATGTGTATCAGACACTAAATTTGCTGCAGAATTTGGAGAGATTGTGCATATGAATTCATGTATTGCAGGAAGAAAAAAGGTGATAATTTTTTTTGGGGGGAGGGATTACCTTCGGTTCTCATTGGCGTGTTTAAACACTCCAGTTCTATGGTGCTTGTCGAAAAAAAATCTGTCAAGAAGTTATTGTTTGCCTTCAAAGTTATTTTTAAATGTTGCTCAAAAAAAAGTCCTAGGACCATATGTCAGACATAAATTAGTCACTTTGTATGGTAAAAAATTAAATCTATTTTATTACAACCCTAATTAAAATTCTCAGTGTTCAGCATAATTTATAGATAGTAGGCAAGGAACAACATCAAAGTATTTGTAGAGGTAACAGGCCCTAAGTATATGAAGAAACACATGGCAATAAAGTCAGTTGTCTTAGGAATTATATGCATAGAGAATAAAGTAGTATTGTTGCAAGAAATATTTTGTTGTTGCTAGAATAATTTGCAAGAATTTTCTTCCTGTAGGAACCAAAGTAGTAACAGGACTCTTGTGTTGTAGATCCATTTACATGAATATCTATATATGTCCTGTCTCTAGTTGACCTTACTTAGTTTACCTGTGGTTAGTGCCTTGAATTTTTGCTGAGATAGGTAGTAAGTGCCAATTGTTACACGATCAGAATACATCTTTTTTTAATAATGAAGACTTAACTAAAGAAGTGAGTGCATGAGGTTTTCTAGGATTTATATTAAAAAAATAGTAGCACGATTCTATATACTATATATATATTCTTGCTTCTTTGAGAATCTGCTCTTTTAGTTTGTATCGATATGTAATGTTAAAGTATGTTCCAGGGACTGAGAGATTTTACATGCATCAGGACATCATAAAATCCCAGTGTTACCTGTATACAAACCTGTCTTCCTCCCTGGTCTTGTCAGTATGTATGACTGTAAAAGGAGATGGAGTAGAGTCTTTCTAGTTCTGCAGATACTGGTTTAGTACTGATTGTTTTACACATAAACGTAGAGTTTGAGTAGATTTAACTATGAATAACTTTTATTTTGTTTGCCTCTTTCTCCTTCTGTCAATAGGTCTTAATTACAAGAAGCTAACAGATGAAAATGAAAACCCTCTGGAAACACTGGAGCCCATCCTTACAAGTCAAAATATCTTATCTATTTCCAAACTGGCTCCCAAAATTCCTAAAAAAGATGGCAGTACGCTGTCACCGAGCTCTATTTATGCTGTCTGGTTACAAAAACTTTTTTGGAATGGTGATCACCATCTCATTAAAAAAATACCAGAAACCATGGATGAGTGGCTACACGCATATGATACGTGTTCAAAGTACTTGGATAGACTTGATCCAGATGATATTGTCACTTTTATTGACGAAATTACCTTTTCTTCAAAAGCTGTCACAAAGGTAAGCAGATATATTTGAAGAATTTCAGGCCTTAGGTGAGGCACAGTTGAAAGTAGTATCAAGGAGAAAGTCTCAGCAGATTTTTACATTTTTCATTTTACAGTTTTTAAAGATAAATTCATAAACCTACCTTTCTCTGCCTACCTCTTCTTTTTATGACTGCCAGTATAGAAGAAGATTTTTATTCAGTTAGAGGAGTTAGCTCTGTGGATAAGAGAGTTTTTGATGGAACCCCAAAGTCCCTGTATTTTGGTTCAGCAGAGAATAAGATATTCTTCTTGTGTATTTATTTATTTTACTTGTGCTCATCCTAAAATTCATTGTGCTGCAGGCTTGTGTTTAGTACCAGGCTTTTGCATTCTGAACAGGATGCTCCACAGGGAAGCATTCAGGGCCAACACATATGGTTTCTAGGCACTGTAATAATATAAATGATAAACTCTATCGTAATCTCCATCTGGCTGAAAGCCCGTTATTGAAAGAACGTGCTTTCATGTCCGTAACATATATTACCAGATTTGCAATTTCTTTTTGCCCAGTGAAACCTACTTATAAGGAAGTTTCTAACGTAAAGTTTTACCCTTGCTTTCTTATGTATCTTTGCTTCCAAGCACAAAAAAGAGATGAGATTTCTTAGATACTACCTTATTAAAAGATCTTGAGATGTCTTCACTAACTTAATCTGAAATGAAAAGATGATAAAGAAGAGATGTTTTGTGAGGTTTTTTGTGTCTTTATCTTCTCTATTCTGGATTGTGCTCGTTTTCCAGAGGTGTTTATTCACCCCGTTCAATGAGGTGTCATTTGTTCCCTCTCTGGATATTGTTTTAGTGTTCCTATGATATTACTATAAATTTATTAGAACCCATCTAACCTGTATCTATACCAGAATTTATTGAAAAAAATTTGCTATTCATTGAAATCCTGGGAAAATGAAAAGCTTTGTCAGCACCAAATTTATGCTTTGATCTGTCATGCTACTAATAGACCAACACTTTTTATCACTAGTCCCATCAGCTGTCGCTTAAGCCTGTTCAGCAGAACCGCTGTCTTGTTTAAGTGTTTTGATCCTTTCTATCATGTAAACATAGTGAGTGTTTCATGCTTATCAGGAAAGACTGACACTCATCCTGAGATCTCAGTTGCCAGACCTGACCCTGGACGGAGGTAGCGAGGGGATGGTTGTTGTCTAATGAGAAGGAAATACTGCCTTCACATATGATCTCCGCTAGTGACTACTTGAAACTGTTGATGTATCTTGGGTGTTTCAAGATTATTTCTCATTTATTCCAGATGAATGATGCAGGGAGAGGATGGACAGCCTCCACTGTGTATCTGTTTTGAAATGCATTGTTTATTTTCATTTATTTATTTCTGTTCAGGATTCCAAATCAGTTACTCTACTCTCTTAAGATGAGTAGGATTTGGAGGAAGGAAGTATTGATGGCAGGATTATTGTGGTTGGTGGCCAAGCAGAACTTCGTAGCAGAAATCTGTTAGCTTTTTGGCCATGAAAGATACTCAAGAAGTGTTTGAAACCGTTGGTCAAATCAGCTGATTTAGTGTGTCCCCTGCACTGGGTTTGGGAATGAAACAGCTGTTTAACCAGCTTGCAGCTATTTTTGCCTCAGGATCCCATCCAATTTTCAAGTGGAAGTGTGCAATGAAAAATCATTGTAGAACCTGAAAACTTATTTCTCAGAGATCTCTTTCCTCTAACTTTGATTTGAAAAATGCTTCATACATAAAGGTGCAAGCCGAAAGGCAGCTTTTTACTTAAAGTTTTATCCTGTTTTCAGGGTGCACTGGTCATGTGAACACTCTTTAAATTTCTAATTCAGCACTTTCTTCCCAGCCCAGTTCTGTGTCCAAGTACTTTATTATATCAGTTTCTCATTCCTATAACAGATGTACATTTCTGTATTTCATGGAAGCACTGATATTTAATGTATGTAAAGGACTGCAAAAAAACATGGTAATTACCATGAAATAATCTGTGCTGTCACTGAGACAGCTGAGTTTTCTCACATACAGAAAATTTGTGGAGTTCTTTTAAGTGGACCTTGAGAGGAAGCTTAAAGTGAGATAGTGTAAGTAGTTTTTTAGGAGTGCCGAGAGGTGAATTGGCTCTTTCCCCCTTTGAGGGGAAAAAACCAAACAAACAAAAAACCCAACTGCTGCACACACATCCCCCACCCCCCTCTCACCCCCTCAAAATTTCAAAAGGGGAGGGGTGGAAGGGAGAGAGAGTAGTCCAGGGAGCGTGATGAAATGCACTCCATCGTTATCCTTGTGAAACAGCACCTCAGTCTAAAAGCTCCTCTTGGTCAGAAATGATCAAGAAAAGTCTCGAGTGATGCAGTGTAATGGGAGGTAGGCTACATAGCAGTGTAGGCTACATGAGTTGAACTTAAAGGGTACCATTGCTGTTGTCACCACATGGGAGCTTAGGAAGCAGACATCAGAATATCCCCCACTGTTTCAATATATCAACAGTAGTAAGGAGAGGCAGGTGACGGGCCACCAAAGCAGTATGATGCTGCTTCTACTTGCATGTCCCTTGATGTGACAGAGAACCTGGGAGCAGAATGCGTAATTGTACAAAAGGGAATGAAAGCACAGGAGTTTAGTGCTGACTTCAGAAACTTCTTGTTCTTAGTGAGAAAGACAGGAACGTGCTGGGCTTTGCCAGGGGGCCCTCTTCTTCACCTGTCCCTTTCTACTCGCTCTTCTTTTTACTTTTTTTTTTTAAAAAAAAAACCCAACAAACCAAACATGTTTTAGCATGAGACGCTCTATTTGTGTGTAATGTCACAATAATTACAGCATGGAGCATAGGTTGGTAAAGAAGAGAGGGCAGCTGGAGGTCTGATTTATTACAGAATCTTCCTCCTGGTCACATAGAGAAATAGTTTGTATTTACATTGTGTGAGGATGCTGTAGCTGCTAAGTGCGTTGTTGTTCCTTCTGTGCTACTAGTAAACAGACGTCTGAGAGGAAAGAGGTAGTATTGAAAATTGAAGGATAATTAACTTTCTGATGAGTTGGGCCAGCAGTGACTGAATGGAAAGGTGGATGAGTGAGCAGTGCTCGACTGGGCAAAGGAGTCAGGAGAATGTCTAAACTGGAGAAACGGATGGGGCGTTTGCACTAGTGAAAGAGCAACTAACATGCTGACATGTAGCTTAGGGTGTGACGAGGTTTTAGGTGCTCTTAGCTCTAAGAGCTCAGAGATTCTTTCCTCCCATGTTTACTGCAATCAGTAGAAATGAGTTACCTCCTGGAAGATGAGATTCAGTTCCCCAGCCTTAAGGGTTCAGAGAAGTGGCAACATTGCATGGTGGGAACTGTGTGAGCAGAGATGCATCCTAGTGGGACTTAAGAAATCATAGACCCAAAGTAACATGGTTAATAGACTGGATATTCTGTATGAGACAGATCACACTGCTTCCCAAAATTTAGTATTTTTTGACCTGCAGCATATCCTATAGGAGATGTTTTACAGTTTTTGAGGGGTTAAGGGTGACTTGTGAATCCAGAGTAATCCTTGATTGCTCTAATGGCTAATTATTCACTGTTTATTTTTTAAAAATGCCTTTCTTTGCTAAACTGAATTTATCTAGTTTTGAGACAAAACAGATCTTTTGTCTGCTATACTAAAGAGGTAGTCATCAAAGTTTGCTTCCACAGTCAGACATTCAGCGGGTGCCACTTAAACTTGACTTTAAGCTGAATGGATTTGACCTTGGGAAGTTTTCTGCTCTTTTTTTGTGTGGTGTTTTGTTTTCGTTTTTTTTTTACAGGGGGGTGTTTGTTTTATCACAAGTTTTCTTTGGATCCAGTATATCAGCATCCGTCTTCAATTGAAGAAGGTAGAGATTGATGCAATGTTCCTGTTGTGTTTGTGGTAAATGAAATAGGTGAAGTCCTTTACTCTTCATCAGTACCCTCCTCACACATTGAAGGACTGAAGTATTGATCCTTAGACCACAGCAGCTCACTGCTGCAAGCAGTGAGAGGGTTCCTGCTTGTGTCACTTCTATTCAGAAATGCTTTTAATTCTAAATAACTATTCAAATTTTTCTGACTAAATAATAATTCAGTCCGCCTCCGGAGTGGTAAGCGTAGGCTATTTGCACGTATGGAACAGATTTCTCCCTAAAAGGGAGATACTCCAAATATTCAGTGGAACTACTGCTTATATTTTTGCACGCATTTTGAGTCTGTCATCTTTTCTTCCAGCAGCTCTATTTACTTTTAAATAATGCTGACTTCATAGATTCTTAATTTTAGTAATGATCATATCAACTTTTTTATCTTGTTGATTTCCTTTATATTCCCCTTTGTGTGATCTGTTTGAAGCATTTTAGGTAATTTGGGGATTTTTTAATTTCTTTGTTGCCAGCATTTTGTTCGTTGTGCTAGGTAGTCAGTTATGTCTTCAAAGAACCATCTGTTTCAGAGCTCATAGGTCATTGCCCTGATGTTTGCTGATTAACAGTACATTGGGAAAAAAAAAAGCCCACAACTGAAAACAATTACTTTTTTAGTTGCTGTGTTTTCATTATTGAATACACACTACAAATGGGGATGGGCACAATATGTTGATTAGGAAGAAAAGACAACATTTTTAGACAGCAAAAGTAGAATAAAAGGTATCATCAGTTAGGTTTTCTATAAAGAAAGAGAAATTGAAATTTTCTTTACACAGGCTCTTCCTTGCAGCCTTCCATAGGCTCGGCCACATTCATTCAAACTATGGCTGATGATATTTTTTGTTTATTATTCCATCCTTTATAATTTCTTTTGTAACTTCTGATGCAAAGGAAGAAATTTGCTTGCAAATAAATATTTTTACAACTTAATATTTTTAATTGAAAGGTTGACTCTTATTTTCTCTGAGTCAGTAATGCTTTTTTGACCATTTTCTTCTTGCTTAAGCAGGAATACGATGTCCACGTTTTGACCACAAACCAAATGAGTGTGGAATGGGAACCTGT